TTTGGTGATTTTTGGATGTTCGGTTCAAGGTGAACCAGGCTCAGTTTCAATGTACTGGTTCTTAGGATTAGGGTTTTTGGCCCGATTCAGGGTCGATTCAAGGCATTTTTGGTCCGTTCAGACCGGTTCCTAAGATTTTTAGGCCTTCTAAATTATATTTTGAGGGTTTTTATGGCCAATTGAGTTGAGTTGGGGGTAGTTTTGAACTACGTTAAGCCGGTTTGAGAGTCTTGGAGGCCGGTTCGCTACAGTTCGAGGGTCATGGAGGCAAGTTCTGTAAATTTGAGGGTGGTTAAGTAGAGTGTTGAATGTTCGTGAATCGCGTGGGTCTTATGGTGGAATTAGTGGTGTCTCGAGATGCGTGTCAGGAGCCCAGACAGGAAAGGTCCCAGTCCACTTTCAGGAGTGGAGTCTTTTGAGATGATCTCCAATTTTGGATCTGATTTATGGTTTGGTGATTGTAGATACTTCTAGGGAGGGCGCCCTCTGGTTCGTGAATTGTTCGTTAGAGTTCTGGATATCAGTTTTGACGTGTCCAGTGAGTGACAGTACTCTCTGTACATGTGTATGCATTACAGTTTTTTGTTAGTTTCTGTATTTTGATTTCTGAACTATAAGATTACTTTCGGGACATGAATCTATCTGTTTTAAAGTATGATAAATTTGAAATTATTTCTGTAATTAATTACATACCTGCCTTAGTGATACATGCTTTTTTTTTTTTAAAAAAAAGTTAATCTATCATGAGTTTTTATGTGATTCTGTTTTTTGATTCCAACTCTAGTTCTAATCTGGGGTGCCAGGGGCTCGGCCGTCGGACAGTTGGCCGCCGTGGCGTGCAGGGAGTGCCCTGGGCCCAATGATGTGATATGTGTGATTCTGATTCTGGTTCTGATTCTGACACGGGATCCTAGTGCGACAGATATGAGATATGTGACTCTGATTCTGATATGGAATGCCAGGGGGTTCTGCCGTTGTATGGTTGGCCACCGTAGCATGCCGGAAGTGCCCTAAGTTCACCTGTGATTCTGACTCTGATACAGGATGCCAGGGGCTTTGCCGTCGGACGGTTGGCCACCGTAGCGTGCGGGGAGTGCCCTGGGTTCATATGTGGCTTTGGTTATGATATGTGATATGTGATATGTGATACGTTCTGATACTCCGACATATTTCTGTTTTCTGATTCTGACTGTGCATACGTAAACTACATGTGTTATCCGAGGCAAGATGACATTTATAAACTATGTTATCAATTTGAGATGATACTTGTGTTTTTGACTTGTTACGATTCTTGTACCGGCATGTTTAGATAGTACTATTATTCATTGAGTTGTATACTCATTCTTTTTCCTCCACCTTCCAGATTTTAGTTCTGTTTGGCAGCGGTAGCTCCTGCGGCAGTTCCATCACCGTTGCACCGACTTGATTGTTCGGGCACTTTCTGTATATTTACTTTTTGTATTTTAAACGCTCCATATACAATCGGACATGTTTATTATTTATATTTATATGTGTGGTCTTTTCATGAGATGCTTTATCTGCTTCGTTTTGATCAAAGGTTTACTAGGGTTAGTACGCTAATCTTAGTACCGGTCACGCTCCCGGGTTGGGGTGTGACATATATCTTTTTAGTACACATTCAATGTGCGATTCATTATGCATAAATATATATTACTTGTTATTAGAGTCAAAATATATTAAATTTTTATAATATATTCTGAATTAAAAAAAGTACTATGAAAATAAAAATTTGTGGAAGGACTTTAAAGTAAAGCAATGGGTTTTAAACTAAAGAAAATGATTGGCTAATCAGTTATTTAGAAGGGAAATTCAAAATGAAATTGAAAGAAAAAATATTACTCCAGGTTCTTTAACGAGAAATATTTTCGGAATCAGTACTTACAGTGGAAAATCCATCTGTTTTGTCTCAGTGTAATCACATGAACTCTCTTCAAATAATGTAATTGGGCCTGTAATTGGGTTGAAAATATTAAAGTTCTCAACAGTTATTGCTTGGTCGGCAACCGTTTTGTTGTCCTTGGTTTGTGCCTAGATGACAAATGATTGGGAAATGATAAATGGTCCAGACGTGTTTCCACGACACAAACTTAGGGACAACATCGTATATTTTCAATACATGCAAGGCATAGTTATCATTCGAGGGGTTATCTTTCTCACTAATGATTTAGGAAGCACCCATATCTATTTCGACTTTTTTTTTAAAAATGAATTAGCTATAGACTTTCACATCATTTTGTCTTTTTTTTTTTATAACTAATAATTAAATTTCAAGCTGAAATTTGTTTATAATTAAAATAATATATAATACTAGATAAAGAATATTTTTATTTACCCATGAAAATATTTGCAGTCTGGATTGGTCCTTATGATCTAATTCATTTCTAGCAATTATAACTCTTTATATCAGAGATGAAAATTATAGAGAAATTAGGTGGCATATGGTACGGTGGAATGATTTTTGATAGAATGAGAATGGGAATGGGAATGGGAATAGAATGAAATCAAAATTTTATGAGTATGTTTGGTGCATACTGATGGAATGAAGATTCTCATTCTATCATTATGTTTGGTATGTTAGAATAGAGATAGGAAAGTAAACAAAAATAATATTCAAAGACAAAAATACCCTTTATTATAAAGATTTAAAAATTAAAAAATATCTTTTAATATATTTTAAATGTATTAAAATTTTTAAAAATTATTTTTTATTCTAACATTAAAATATTAAATTCATATATATGTGTATTTGTATTTAAATATATAATAAGTTATATATATTATAAATATAATAAATGATATAATATATCATATTATATAATTTAATATATTATACTAGATATATATAATACACAATCATGTTATACAATTTATCATAGTGTAATATAATATATTAATATATAATATTATAAATATTTATAATTTTATATATATAGAATATTTTTGTCATTTATTTAAAAAGTAAATGATAATATAGTAATTAGCACCTAAATAAGGATTCCATCAGAGGATGGAATCCGGATTCCATCACTCTAGTGAAGGAATCCGAATTCTTTCATTTGATGGAATTCTTATTCTCTCAGGAATGAGAATTCCCATTCCAAAGTACCTAACAAACATAATTTTTGACATTCTCATTCTCATTCCTATTTATTCAAGAGATTCCTACGTACCATACATCACCTTAAATAATTCACTCATAGAATGATTTAGTGCATCGTACCAAATACCAAGTTATACGGGTTAACTTTTGATAATTATTCAAAGTTTAATGGGTCAAAATTAAATAAATAATTTAATTTTCATACATAAAAAAAACTAATCCCAGTACTACTTCAAAATTGAAGCAGGGTCAATTAAACCTATTGGTATAAATGTGGCTGCAACCCTGGCCTCATGTGATTTATACATTAAGATTACAATAAATATTTTGCACTCGTTGCTTGGTATATATTAATAATTTATTTTAATAAGATTCACAATAAGATAAATTTTTAAAATTGGATTTGTATTTTTTTTGTTATTATTTTACGAAGACGATATGAATCATTTAGCTAAAATATATAGAAGAATTAACGAGTTTAAAATGTAAATATAGTACAATAGATATTCATGCTTGGCTAATCTCACTTGACCAAAACAATAAGATTAACCCTGGACTGAGTCCTTGACACCATTGTGACTAAATGATTACTGATCAATTCTTTGATGGAAAAGTTCAAAAAAATCAATGCAAATAGAACTTTCAATGTTAATCTAGATTATAGATTGAGATTTTTCTAAGCCTTTATTTTTTCGTCCCGTATAAATTTATTTTTTCCCCTCATTTTACAAGTCTTTTTGTTAACTTTTTACTGAGTAATTATATAAATATATATATATATATATTTTTTTTCTTTTCTATTTTTTCCTAAAACAAATGTTAGGCGTTTGACGGCAATCGCTGGGCCGCTTCTTCGGGTACCCGGCATTGCTTTTATGAAAACCCAGCTAAGCAGAGACCCCCTTTTGACAAAGCTGCAAATTCAATTTACCAAAAAAAAAAAAAAAAAAAAAGGCTGCAAATTCAAAAGCATCTTCGCTGCCATCCCAACGGGGTTGTCCGTCGCAGTTGGCGAACTATACGACGTCGTTTTCTTTCAAAACTTTCGTTGGTCCCCTACTGAAAAGACCATTACTTTCCCTGATAATTCTCTTCCGGGTCAAAAAAATGTCCAAAGTCTGGAAGCCTCTGCCTCCCGTCCTTCCAAACTCTCCCTTTTCTCGGGAACCGCAGATTCTCCCCCAGGGAGCTCCCCTCCCGCCTTTTCTCTCTCTATAAACCCAAGACACTGCTTTGTTCTTTTCCCTTGGAAGCGTCTGGTTCAAGGGATACTCACGGTAATCTCAGAGAGACTTAGTCAAATTACATCTTCCTCTGGCCCCGCCATAGCGGTAAAATGCATTAAATGCTATTGTTTCCGTATCTGTTGGTTTTTCCTGTTCTCCTTTTCACATTTTCTCATATGAACAGGAATTAAGTTCTCGTCTGATCTGTGGGTCACCGGTGACTGTGTCGTGTCTGGTTCTTAGCATGATATAGCAGTGGTGTTCGAGTTGAAGATGATATGAAGTTAGCGAAATGAGTTTCCATGTTAATTTTTTTAGAGTATGCTTGAGTTTAGTGTCTCTTATGTGTGAATGGAGGGAGGACCAAAGGTTAGGTTAGTTCGTTGCCCTAAGTGCGAAAATCTTCTTCCGAGCTTCCTGATTTCTCCGTTTATAAGTGTGGTGGTTGTGGCGCTGTTCTTCGAGGTATACTTACTCTCTCTCTATATACAACTACGTATATGTTTAGTAACCTACAACATTTTTTAGGTATGCATTAGAGCGTTTTTATACGAGTATAATATTGTCTAGTCATTTCACGATATAATTTTTTTTTTAATTATGCAGCAAATGAGAAGGAACCTTTGAATGGTGAAATCTCCGAGAAATCTGAAATGGAGAGATTCACAGTAGATAATGTTAATTCAGGAGGTGCTTATAATAATTCCGACAGTAATGAGCTTGAACATTCCTGGAAAAGTGGTGCATTTCCGCAAAAAGACGGTAGTTCAGTCGATAGTTCTTCGTCAAGGGCAGATAAAAGGGAGTCTTTGAACAATTGTGACCACAATGATGGAAGAGAATCGATGAAATCAAGGGTTAATCATAGCAATAAAGACGAAGAAGTTGGATATTACGATGATACACATGCTCAATGGAAAAAGGCCCCAGTAATAATTGGGTTCGCACTGAAGATTATGATCTTAATATGAACTGGAACAGGGCCGAAATTAGGAATTCACTTGTGGGCAATGGGTTGAAGGAATTTAAAGGGGATTTTGCAGGTTCATTTGGATCAAGGCCAACTATGAGGGCATTTTCTACTTATCCGGATGAGGGACCTTCCAATTATCAATCTGGGCCTTTTCATGATTGTGCAGTGAAGAAAAGGATTAACCACGTGGTTGATGGTCCTGGTAGAGTTCAAAATTTGGAGCATGGTAGAAACGAGCTCCTTAGAAAGTTGGATGAGTTGAAGGAGCAACTAAGTAGATCTTGTGATGTCTCAGAGAAACCTAGGGAAAGGGCTTCTCTTGATAGGAAGATGGTTCATTCTCCTCCTCCCCCTCCTCCTCCTCCTCCTCCTCCCCCACCACCTCCACCATCAGCCTTTCTTAATAGTTATTCTGGACATGGTTCTTATGTGTCACAAGCCTCAACCAATTTGTATAATGCTAATATGCAGCCCATTGAACCCCTTTATTTCAATCATGATGATGGATGTATTCCTTACCTCAATAGTCATGGTTTGGATATGCACAATTTCTATCCTTCAAGGAGTGCCCCAAGTGAATATGTGGGATATGAAGACCCCTACCTTTCCCAAAGGCTTAGGAGACCAGCACCTTATCAGTCACAATCCCAATACTTGACGCCACCTTATGGAAACCATGTGGTTCCCAGGCAGCATATGGAATTGAATCAGAATACTCTTCCATCATACCACAAAACCTTTTCACACCAGCCTTCTCGATCTTATTTACAGCACTACAACAATGACTGGCAAATTCCTCCAAATGTCCCAAACCCTGTTTGTCATGCAAACCCTTTTGCAGAAGGCCCACTTTATTATAATTCTAGAGGCTGCAATTCTCATCCACATGATCTCCCTGGGGGGCACCCAAGACGGGTGGTGGTTGCTCGTGGAAGTGAACAGGCTTGCCTTCCAGTAGCAGGTGGTGCCCCATTTATAACATGCTTCAGTTGTTTTGAATTGCTGAAACTGCCAAGAAATGTTATAATGACTGGGGGGAATCAACAGAGAGTTCGGTGTGGGTCTTGTTCTGCTATAATATTGATTCAGTTTGAGAAGAAGGGTATTCTTGTCTCAATTCCCACTCAACCTGAGCAAGTTTCTGCCAAGTGTGATGATAGCTCTGGCGAGCTGGTGAATGAAAACCTTCAAAGAGCTGATGATTTTGATAATATTGGTTACAAATTTGCATTGACTGATGCTGAATTGAGTATCTTAAGTGAACAAATACAAAATATTGCTGAATCCAATGAGAGGCAGGACCCCCTTTCTTCTTCTTCTTCTTCCAGCTTTTCAGAGGATGAGCAGAGCCCAGATAGTGTGATTTTCCAAAGCTGCCTGATAATGCTTCTTCTGCTAATGTCATAAGCAGAAATGATATGGGTAACAAGAGTAAACATAATGATCAGGAGAAGGTTATGCTTGACAGGAAAAACTTGCAACAAAATTCCACGAGAGATGTTTCAGTAGCAACTGAGATGGAAGTTTCTTATAATGAAGTTCTAAACAGTGGTACATCTCAAGACTCTGAGGAGGTAAGCAGAGAAGAGGATCCACCAAAGATCAACAAAGGGGCTGAATCCTTTTTTGCAGGTCTCATGAAGAAGAGTTTTAGCGACTCGGGAAGGCCAAAAGTTTCTGTTAATGGGCAACCTTTATCATATCGCTTAGTTAAGAAGGCTGAAAAGCTAGCAGGGCCCATTCAACCTGGAAGCTACTGGTGATTGCCTATTCTAAACTTGCATTCTATGATCTATAAATCTTAAGAGTACTGTATTATATGGAATAATTACTAGCTGGTGCGTCTTTTATAGTGAGTAATTTCTTTATAACTATTGGTTATCTTTTTTTGTTGCAATCAGGTATGACTACCAAGCAGGATTTTGGGGTGTGATGGGCCACCCTTGCCTTGGCATAATTCCTGTGAGATCAATTACTTATTTGATGCATATAACTTGCACAGTTTTCTGTTATACGAAATAGATTGACTAGATTTCTATTTTCTTCCAGCCATTTATTGAAGAATTCAACTATCCAATGCCGGTGAATTGTGCAGCTGGAAATACCGGTGTTTTTGTCAATGGACGAGAACTTCATCAGAAAGATTTAGAGTTGCTTGCCCGCAGGGGCCTGCCAACCACGAGAGATAAATACTATATTATTGAGATTTCAGGTAAAGTTTTGGATGAGTGCGGTGGTGAAGAACTGGATGGCCTTGGGAAACTTGCCCCAACGTAAGTATTGCTGCTTCTGCTTCCTGCTCGTGCTCGTGCTCCTGCTTCCTACACTAGATCAACTAAGGAAATTCTTCTATAATTTAATCCTTTTTTTGATCATATTTTTTTAAAAGCTGCACACATGTACACATGTAAGTGTAAAATTTTAATTTTCATTATGAATGCATTCTAAAAAGAAGAAAAATGAAAAGCCATCAAGAGTAGTCATTAGGTTGTAACAGATGGGACTCATTCAGTACTCTTCACATATAACTGGCTTAAATGTAATTCTACTGGACAAGCTAATGGGAATCTGAATGGCTAAATGTTAGTGATTTTTTCCTGCTAAAATGTGCTCATGTCATAGGAACATAACTATGGGATAATATGGGCAAGCTGTAACATTTTTCAGAAAATCAAAACATTACATGAGATCAGCATGTATAGTAATTATCTTGTATACAAATGTATGGAAAATAATGATACTATTTAGTTTTATGATAGAAAAAGGGTAGAAAGCTCTCTACATTCTATATCTTGGAAACAAATATTGAATAAAATGTCATATATTATCATTAGAACTCTATTTATAAACTAATTTGGGGTATAAGTTGTGGACTTAGTGAAACTAGAAACCTTGTATAAAAATGGGTTAGTAGAACAGAAATACATTGTTTTAGTTTGAATCATGGGCTCTAAGTTTATTCTGTTTGAAGTTGCTATGTTTAATGCATGTTTGAAGTTTAAACCATGAAAAATGTGTGCCCTGATCGACCAAAATGTTCTTGGTGTTGTGATAGAGCAATGTGGAATGTTAGTTCTACACCCTTATTCAATTCTTGTGCACCAAGGACTGTCACTCTATCCAACATGGGTTGTGGAAGAGGCAAAAAAGGGTGCAAATGTAAGAACTCGAAATAATAAGATACAACAAAAAATAACTGACATGATACCATTTAGAAGTTTATGCTTCACAGAACGAAATGGTAAATAATTCTTTCATGTATTCTTTCTTTATTTTGGTAAAATACTTTATTTCTTACAGAATGGTAAATTCATTAAAATGAAGTTTCTGTTTCTAACTGGAAGTCCATTATATTGTACTGTTGCATTGTGGTTTGAAACAATAGCTTGTTTATCATAATCCTTGTATTACATCACGGTTGTCATTTCGATGCAGTTAAGACAATTGAAATTTGTCTGTTTGGTTTTAGTACATTGATTAATGTGACTTGAACAGCAATGTGATTAAGCACCTCTATTGCTGTACCTTATATTTGTAGTTGTGTAGCTACTGTAAGGATTCTACTCTCTAGTTCCCAGAGTGATTGGAGAGGATCCTGATCTCAGGCTTGCTAGTGAGATGCTAGAGAAGTAATAGACTGAAGTCTATCACAAAAAATGGCTATATTGTTCCTTAACTTGGTACTTGATTTTTTAGGCTCGTGTACCCAAAACATGGGAAAAGCCAAAATCCATGATTTCACTACTTTTAGGGCTTAAGAACCTAGAAGCTACAAAATTCTAACTTCTAGCTGGGTCATTTAGCCTCTTGGGCTTTAAAAGCTGAAGATTTGAGCCTCAAAATGCAGATTTCATCTTGTGTTGGTTTTTTATTTGCTTGTTTGAGATGCATTTAGCTATGATATATGTGGATAACTTGTTACAGTAGGTTGTATCCAAAACCTGGAATCTCAATACTTGCTAGTTGAGTTCTACTTTGTGAATTCTATGTTTGGTCTATCTCAACTACCTTGTGCCACTTATAACCACTGAACTGATACTGTATGGCCTCAATCTCATACTTGAATACAGGGTTGAAAAAGCGAAGCATGGTTTTGGTATGAAAGTCCCAAAAGAGCTTGCAAAGTTGATGTGAGGATTAAGAGGAGTTTCTTGAGATCATTCTTCATTTGTAACTGGTCACTATATCCATTGTTGGTATGCGTTTGATGTACGTTAGAACTGAAATTTTGAAGGATGCCTAGTTAATCTTTTGCCTTGTTTTTTATTTGTTTATTTTTGTATCTGTATTTATATTTATAACATTTTATTTAATGAATTAAATATTTGCTTGTTTTCAGGTTAAGGCTATTTACACTATTTGATACATTAAACTGATATGTTGAAGTCATTTTGTTCTCTGGATGAGAGAATTCAAGTGAAGGCTTGTGTGTGATTATGACAGGTCAAAATTTTTTAGTAGAACTGGCTTAGGTCGTTTAGGTAAGGACATATACTGCACAAGCGATCCCATTTACTGGTTTTGAAATTTTGATTACTGTTTCCAAATTCCAAGTTTGGGATTCATATCTTTCATGAACCCTTCTGAGCTTTCAATAGAACTTACATATCCTTTTGCATTCTTTTCCCAAAATAACTAGTCTCTAAAATGCACTGAAATTTGTGAGAATAATATGCAGAAAGCAAGTCTCCTCCCATTTGACAACGACCAGGCATCGACCTGGGTTGAATTGAGCAAATGGTTTGCAAGAACAATATTGAGTAGAGCTCTTCTGAGCTTTCAATAGAATTATTTTTCCAAAATAACTGATCTCTAAAATACACGGGATGAGAATAATATGCAGAAGGCAAGTCTCCTCCCATTTGACAGCGACTAGGGATCGACATGGGTTGACTTGAGCAAATGGTTTGCAAAACAATATTGAGTATTTAAGCGTCTTTGATGGTGCAAAGGGCAGCAATGAAAAGGAAGTGGCTACAATGTCGTTTATTAGTTTATGAAGTTATAGATTATTGTTATGTAACGTTATGTTAATCTTTGTACAACATACTGGGTTTAGCTCATTCAAGCCGTTCCACCTGGCATATTGGGTATTATGAGAATAATAGGCAGATAGCAAATCTCCTCCTATTGGAGACAATGACGAGGCATCGACATGGGTTGACTTGAGCAAATGGTTTGCAAGAGCAATGGTGAGCAATAAGCGTGTTTTCATAATGCAGGGCCCGAGTGAAAAGGAAGAGGAAGTGACTACCGTGTGGTTTATTGGTTTATGAAATTATAGATTATTAAAACTTATTTTATTTTATTTTTGTATGGCATAAAAAAGTTTGACTGCTTTTTTAAATTTCATTAGTAAGCTTTTAGAAGTTTTAGATCAAAGACGTTTTAGCTATTATTCTAAAAAATTAAAAAATAAAGGACTAATAATTTTTTTTAAAAAATACCAATGACATGCACAATTCAATTTGTTGACTTCAAAAAATAATATACTAGACTTAAAAAAATACATGCAAGAAGCTTACCTCTTAACGGAAAATCCAGTTTGTCCAAAACAGGCTTCCAGTTTTCTAATGAGAAGCCTTCTCAGTCTAAAATCCAAGCACTTAGTGAAGTGGCCCTCACTTTTGAGGTTGTTTAATTTTTAAAGCAAAGGGGAAAGAAACCGACAACCAAACAACCCTTCTAGGTACCCGAAAATCACGGGCTAAACGGTCTTCCTCTTACGTTTTTTATTCTTTCTTGCGACCTAGAACTCGATCCTCATGTGTGAAACCGACTTTTTGACGCCGATATTAATTGCATCGTGTATAATTATCGAACAGTTCTTTCCTCCTTTTTCGCCAATTTCAGCGAATTTTTACTCCTAATCTCAAGAAAATTATCGTTCGATATTAGTAAAGTCGTACTATATTACAAGTCATCTTGAAAACGGTTCTCTATTGTCGGTTCATTAATTTAATAATTCTGGTTGTCAGATCCAGAATGATAAAGAATACATTATTTCCATTAATGGGGTAAAATTGACGCCACGGGTTAGCCGAAATAACTGTACACCGAGCCCACAGTCACAGGCGTGCTTTTAGAGAGAGCGAAATGCAGTTAAACTGGAAGTGGTCTTCGGAGAAGCAATATCCCCTGTGCGTGAAGTTGGTTGTTTCAATCCTCTTCCTGGGTCTTGCTTTTAGGCTTCTCTTCTACCGAACGAATGCGTTTCTTAATGTTTCGGAGACGCTTGTGTCTGTAGATTTTCAAGAGAATAGAGATCGGATTCCTGAAAATGGTACTCAACTCTCAAACAACTTTAACCGATCAGTTTCTGTTGATTTAGACCAAAGCAGATATGAGCTAACCGGAAAACTTAATCAATACCCTGAAAATAGCACTCAAGCGTCAGAGAATCCATCGGTTTCTCCAGATTTAGAGCAGAACAAAGGGCAGATTGATGAACATAACGGTGCCCATCAACCGGATAACCCAAAACCATCAGTCTCCGACAGTTTTCCAGAAAGCAGAGATCAAATTACCAAGAAAGGTATACAAGTTCCGCTGCTTGGTTTTGCTCTGATTTGTTTGTTCAGAAGGCTTGTCTGTTCGATACGTTGTTGTATGGATTTGGATCCCCTGGTCAATTTGGATTCGTATTCTGTATTCTGTTATATGCTTTTAATTATCAGCTTCTGTATTTTTGAAAACAGAAGATATTGAACATATATGGGAAACTCTTATTATATTTTTATCATTTTCAATTGCAGATAATGTTGTTTATGAGAATTTCAAAAACAAATTTTTGTTATTTTCTAAGTATAGGCCTATTTTTCTTCCTAAACAGTTTCCAAAAACAACCTCGGGTTTTCTATTCCAAAAACTTAAGGCCGTTTACCAGAACAAATTAAAGCATGTCCTTAAATTCACACTACCTGTATGCACATTCTCAAACACGTATTTGTGCGTTTCTATCAAGGCTTAGAGTATGCTGGATTTTTGATTTGGCATGATTATAATAATGCAGAGAAGTGCGATCTCTTCACTGGTGATTGGATCCCCAGTTCATCTGGTCCACGTTACACTAATGAGACTTGTAGTTTGATTGAAGGACACCAGAATTGCATGAAGAATGGGAGGCCGGACACTGGGTACCTCTACTGGAGGTGGAACCCTCGAGATTGTGAGCTGCGTCCCTTCGATGCCGAGCTGTTTCTTGAGCTCATGAGGAACAAATCATGGGCATTTATTGGTGATTCAATATCCAGAAACCACGTCCAGTCCTTGCTTTGCACTCTTTCAAAGGTAATACTAGTTGATATTTTAGCAAAATTTAGAGGATGTGGAGTGCTTAAAGCACATTATTGCTAATTTTTTTCTTAATCTATTGGTTAAAAAATAAGCACTTAAAGTACATTTTGGACAGAAAAACGTAAGCAACCAAGTTCCCATCCCCACCTTTTTATGTTGTGTCTTGTTCTGGCTTGTAGCAAATCATTAAGAATTGTCTTTACAAGTGTTTGTTTTTCACTATAAGCAGTTTTTGACAGGCGCATGCTTATGTAGTTGATACTAGAAATGGACCTAAAAATGGAACAGGCCCTTTTCCTTTGTTATATGCTTCTGAGTGGTCTAGGATATTTATGAAACCAGAAGATTTGTAGCTAACTCCATGGCAGTGAAGCTTTCTGATTTTTCTATCCTTATAGTGTCTTAGTTAGAGCCCGTTTAGAAGACCGTGTTGTCAGCGCATGAATTCATTCCTGTAATAAGAGGTTCCCTAATAAGCGAGGGACTTCTTGAAGAGCTCTTTAGTGAAGAATTTTTCACTTCCAGCTTAGTTCCACTTGGATAAGCCACGGATTATTTCACCTAAGGCCGGCATGAGAATGTCAGCTATTGCTTAAGATGTTCACTGGCTTCTTATTGTCAAAAAGGCGTTTTTTCAACAGTGATATATTGATTAACTTGCATGATAAGATTGAGGTTTCTGCAAATTTCTTATTCAAAAAGTATTGGTTACCTTTCATCTCACTTCAACTATATTATTTCAGATGTCTTTGTAAACACAAAAGCAAAGCGTTTTAATCTTACAGGCATGTAGTTCATTAAATTAAACTATTTGTGATTCAGGTGGAACAAGCTGTTGAAGTTTACCATGATGAACAATACAGATCCAAAAGATGGCATTTCCCTTCATACAACTTCACCGTGTCAGTTCTTTGGTCCCCTTTCCTTGCAAAAGCAGCCACTTTCGAAGACTACAATGGTGTTTCAACAGCTGACATTCAGCTGCACCTTGATAAGCTCGATTCTGCATGGACCAATGAATTCCAAAGCTTGGATTACATGATATTTTCTAGTGGTAAATGGTTTCTCAAAACCGCATTCTACTATGAGAATGACACAACTCTGGGCTGCCATAACTGTCCTAACAAAAACCAAACAGAGCTTGGGTTCGATTTTTCTTATCGAAAAGTCCTCCAAAACGTGTTCAACTTCATTGTTTCGTCCAACCACACAGGTACAATCATTTATACGACATCCAGCCCTGATCACTTTGAGAATGGAGAATGGTATAATGGTGGAAGTTGTCGGAGAACAGAACCAGTCAAGGAAGGAGAGTTAGAGGTGAACGAGCTGAACAAAATTCTTCGTGCGGTTGAAATGGAGGAATTTGAGAAGGCTGCGGCCAAGGCTTCTGAGTGGGGGATAAATCTTAAACTTCTCGATGTAATGCAGCTTTCATTACTAAGGCCCGACGGGCACCCAGGTCTTTATCGGTACTTCCATCCATATGATATGGATAACAGTACTAAGATATTCTACGATTGTCTGCACTGGTGTTTGCCCGGGCCTATCGATTCATGGAACGATTTGCTTATGGAGATGGTTTTAAGATAACTGACAGCACCAGAGTATTGAATGCTGAAGAATGACTTATTTGGTAGAAGAAAAATGTCAAACAGACGGGCAGAGGAGTCCATGTGCAATTCTTTGACAGTTGGAGAAATTGAAATTCGTTGTAGATGTTTTTTGATGTTGTGTTGTAAAATAATATTCAGATTCATAAGTTATTGATTTGACTAAAATATATATTTTTTGACGTCAGTAATTTGTTTTAGAGGCCAATGATAGCTTTAACATTCGAGGGGATTATTTGCTTAAACTTCTGATTTTTATGATAACATGGGTGGAGAAGAAATATTTGGTACAGCAATGGATTATAGGGGGGTCCAATTTGAATTGTGAACTGGTTCGAGACGAATCTGTAAAATAAGAAAAGGATTGGAAATCCGGTTTTGAATTGTGAGAATTTATAGTTTAGTTAAGGTTTAGATTTTTTTGAATTAGCAAGAGAAACGAAGTGATGCATGAATTAGTGAATCGAAATTGTGAATAAATTATGAATGAAATGTGAACCATGAATTGACCTATGAGTGAATTATGAATTTGTTTTATTTTGTAAAAATTTAAAATAGATGTTAAAATTAAATTTTTTTAATTATAAAAAGTTAATATATTTTTTCTTTTATTTTCTCTCATATCTAACAAATATTTATTTAGTATAATTTTATTATTATTGTTTTCCTAAAACAATAATTTAATTATTATTATACGCTGTTGACATTCTAATAATTTTTCACCATATAGAAACTTGATTGGGGTCTAAGACATTGTTTTTCAAAGTGGGTTTTTAGCTTAATTTATTTATATTTTTAATTTAAAATAAAATATTTTAGAACTATTATAGGAGGTGAGAATATTCTTAACAAAATTCAATATTATTTATTTAATATATACTTGGATAAAGCTTAGAGAATAATAAAAAAATTATAAGTTTGGATAAAATTTAAAAAATAATAAATTAAAATTTTAAATAATTTATAAGTTAATATATAAATTTTTTTTTGAACAAAATCAAAGTGGTGAATCAAGAACAAATAGGATCTAGAATTAAATTGAACCAAATTATAAATGAACTAAAAATAAAATGTTAATAAATCAGAAATAAATAATGAATCAACTAGAATCTGAACTAGAACTGAAATTGTGAATCGGTCAATTCAAAATCATGAGCCAGCTCAAACTAAAACTGAAATCTAAACCTTCACAGATCAAAACCATAAACTAAATCAAAATTATCTTGAATCGTTACCGAAATGGAAACTAAATTGGTATTCAAAATTCTAGTCGTAATTTATATTATTTCTGGATTGAAATTAGAACCGGTGGTCTAGTTTCGGTCTGTGTTGGCTCAGGAATAGGCAACAGGCCTAGTTGGATTATACTAGATCGTTGACTTTTAGGGGCGGTGTGGTTTGGTGTAAACGTAGACCATATATTCCAAAAATTGTTTAAAGTCAGTTCCTACTGGAGCACAGGCCCAAATTGGAAATACAGAATACAGGTTTGGGTCAAATCCAGCTATGGTCCAAGGCGGATGCAGCCGGATCCACAAAGCCGATAAGATTAAAATTATAACCGTTTTTGTAACCAAAAAAAAAAAAATATATTATAACCCTTGTCCCTAGCACCACAACGGTCAGATTCTTTAAATTTCCCAGATACAACCTAGCTTCCCTCCTCAAAGTGGAAACTCCCAATTTTGAATTTGAAAATATAACCGTTAGTCCCCTGCACTTCTTTGCATATAAAAAATTCCGTTCTCCAGGGCAGAGCTCACCACTAGCACTTTCACCCCCAAGCGTCAATCTCTCTGTCCCCCCAAACTATGGCTGACGTCATCCCTAGCGTGCCAATCGTTTGCGCAAGGAAAGCGAGGAGCAGAAAGGCCTTGAAGCAGAAAGAGGCTTCTTCGAGTGAGGCCAACATTTTGGCCGGAGCAGGCTCACCGGTGCCGATTGAGCCACAGGCGAAGGACTCTGCCGGCAAGGAGAACAAAGAGGGCCTCTCGCAGCTTGGAGTGGGCAAGAAAAAGAAAGCACCACCGAAGGCCGCAAAACAACAGAATGCAAATTCTTTCGAGCAAGAGCTGGAGGAAATGCAGGAAAAGCTTCAAAAATTGAAGATTGAGAAGGAGCAAACAGAGGACCTTTTGAAGGCCCGTGAGGAGATGCTGAAGGTGAAGGAGGAGGAGCTCCAGACACGTGGCAGAGAGCAGGAGAAGCTGCAGATGGAGCTCAAGAAGTTGCAGAAGATGAAGGAATTCAAGCCCACCATGGTTCGTAATTTTTTTATTTATTTTTTTCATTGTCTCAAGTTTAACAGTAGGTTTAATTTGATCTGGAGATTAATATCTTTTTGATAATTGTTTGCATTTTCTTCTTTTCTGTATCTTTCTGTAGACATTTCCAATGTTTCAGTCTCTAAGAGACAAAGAACAGGATGTGAAAGAGGCTAAGAAAAAGAAGAAAGGAGGCCCTCAAATCAAAAGGCCATCTTCTCCTTATGCCCTATGGTGCAAAGATCAATGGAATGAGGTAACTTAGTTATACCAGAGAAAGATTGTTCTAATAATTTGCGTAACTTTATAATCTTATCTGCGAATCCTGTCTCCTCTTCAGGTAAAGAAAGCGAACCCAGAAGCCACATTTAAGGAAATTTCAAATATTTTGGGAGCAAAATGGAAAAATGTTACAGCAGAAGAGAAGAAACCTTACGAGGAAAAGTACCAAGCCGACAAGGAAGCCTACTTGAAGGTTATTGGAAATGAGAAGCGCGAGAATGAAGCCATGAAGCTGTTGGAGGAAGAGCAGAAACAGAGAACTGCCATGGAGTTGCTTGAGCAGTATTTACAGTTCCAGCAGGAAGCAAAAGAAGTGGACAAGAAGAAGACCAAGTAAATTCAGTAAATTCTCAATGTTCAAATCTCATCCCCCCATTATGCCCCCCTGAACATTTTATTTTTCCATTTTATTGACAGGAAAGAGAAGGATCCCTTGAAACCAAAGCAACCAATGTCAGCATTTTTCCTGTTTGCAAGTGAGCGAAGAGCAGCTCTACTTGCAGAGAACAAGAGTGTGCCGGAGGTAACTCCATTGCCAACCCTTCAGTTTCTTATTTTTTTCCAACCTTCTTCTACAAAACCATAAATTTCGGTACATTCTTCAGGTGGGCAAGATCACAGGAGAGGAATGGAAGAACATGACAGAGAAACAGAGAAGACCTTATGAAGAGGTGCATTGAACTTTGATCTCTCTAAGCAGCAATTGCATTTTTTATTTTTTAATGTTTTTCCGAGTCTCAAGAATCTGTGTGGAACTAGCAGAGGGCGAAACAAAACAAGGAAAAGTACATGGAGGAAATGGAGGCCTACAAGCAGAAAAAGGAGGAAGAGGCTGTGAATCTCACGAGGGAAGAGGAGGAGTTGATGAAAATTCAGAAGCAGGAAGCTTTACAGTTGCTGAAGAAGAAGGAGAAAACAGAGCACATAATTAAGGTTTGTAACTTAAATACCCAATTATGGATACGTTTATGTGTTGAGTCTATATTATGGCCTCTCATTGTCTATATTTCCCTCATAAGCAGAAAACCAAAGAGAATCGCCAGAAGAAGAAGAAGCAGAAGGAAGAGTCTGATCCAAAAAAGCCCAAGAAGCCCGCGTCCTCATTCCTCCTATTCAGGTTAATCATTTTTTCAATAAACTAGCTAACACAAGGAAGCGACCAAATTTGCTTATTATTTTTGTCTAATAGCTTTTTTTTTGTTTTTTTTGCTGATGCAGCAAGGAGGCAAGGAAGAACTTAATGGAAGAAAGGCCGGGAATTAACAATTCCACCCTCAATGCCTTTATTTCAGTGAAATGGAAGGTATTGTTCTGTTACTCAAGCTCTTTTGAGAACGATTATTTGTGGTTAGAAGGTGGAAAATAACAAATCGTTATTATTATTTCTAATAAATAGGAACTGAGTGAAGAAGAGAGACAAGTGTGGAATGAGAAAGCTGCAAAGGCTATGGAGGCATACAAGAAGGAAATAGAGGAGTACAGCAAATCTGCAGCCGCCAAGGAAGATAGCCCACAGCAATGAGAGCTCTAGGGAGTGGTTGCCTTTGTTGGATCTCTGAAGATGTTCAACTTCTAGTTGTTGAACATCTTTTCTGACTGGCCATTTTCTAATTGTTAGTGGGTAGTGCTTGTTGATTAATCTTTTCTAATTGTCGTTCTTGTTGATCATTAAATCATTTGGATTTTGAATCGGTGCATGGAGTTTTGAAGCAATGAAAAATGATCTATTGTCTCAAAAGCTTAGTTTTCCCTATCATCATTTGGTAGCGCCTTGCTCGGACAGAGTAAAAATGGTGATTTATCATTTCAATTCATGTCGCTTTCAAGATATATTTGGAGGGGGCAATTTAATCAGAAAAAGAACTTTGTGTCACCATTGTTTCTGGCCAGGCAGGGCACGCCACCTAAGATGTTGCGTCGCGGCAACACAACTTGGCCTGTGGGGTTTTCCTTTATAAAATACCAGTGGGAGAAGCGACTGGGCGTGTTGTATGCGCCAATTGCCATTGAGGTTCCACAGAGGACGAAACCACTTCCACATTTCCTCATTTTGTCCGTAGTTCGTAGGTTTGACAGCGTGAGGAGAAATGTAGTATTAGTGGTCCATCAACACATGTCTATATAAATTTAAAATTTTTTTTTTTTGGGTGCCACAGAAATTGTGGCTTCCAAATGGGCGTGTCTCTTTATAAATATCCAAATAATCCAATTATAAATCAGTCTCCTAGTCTGAAGGCGTGAATAACGTTAGAGTCCAAAACCCCTGCCAAGCTGGTCGAGTTCTTTTTTTATTAATTTTTTAAAATAAAAATATTTTTAATCAATACTAGGTAAAAAGGGTTTTAATTATTATTTTAATTTGAGAAGCAAAGTAAACGGACAAATCATTCGAGTTCTTTCTTATTATTTTTTTTAAATAAAAAATATTTTTAATCAATACTAGGTAAAAAGGGTTTTAATTTGAGAAGCAAAGTAAACGGACAAATCATTTTTTGATAATTAAAAATTATTGAATATAAGCTCCCTCAAACAGTGACTGCCATGTTAATCTCTCTCTCTCTATTTTAGAGTCTTTTTAACTTTCTCTAGTTCACTTCTTTATGTCAAAACATTTTTAAAAAATTAAAAAGTTGATTTTTATTGTTTAATGGTAAACATGAAACTTTAAATATTAACACATTTCTTCTAAACTTTTTTATTTTTTATTTTTTTTATCAATTCTGACAACTCCCGTAGTACTCTCAAGTGTGCAGTTAAATTTCTATAAACAGTTAAATACGGACAAGATGGTTGCATTTATGAAATTTTAAGACTGAAGTCATTACAATTAGCCATAACTATATATACGAAATTGAGTTTGGAGTTTTTTTTTTCTTTTGTGGCTCTCTATAGAGGATTTGAGAAATGATCATGAGAAATTCAATTTCTCCTTTGGTTAAAATTACAAAAAAATAGAATATGGTTAAAATTACAGTATCAAAGAGTGGAATTTACCCTTGAAATAACCGAGAGGAATCAATTTCTCATTTGGTTAAAATTACAGAAATATAATTAGGTTAAAATGACTGGGTCAACCAGTGGAATTTTCCCTTACAATAGAAAGAGCAAGTAGTTCCGTGATAGCAATCGTGGGACCTACCAAAGCGGGAGTCTTTAATTCTGTTCTGAGGGAAGTTAAGATCATGCCCCAAGTGGTAACTCCACATCAGGAAAGATGCCAGCACCTGCCATCCGTGTCCGTTGTTTATCATCGACCTTTTCCAATCCACTTCTCTCCATCTCCGCATTCTTTTAAACTACCAAAGCCGTAGCTTCGCACAACAAATCAAATCAAATCAAATGAATTCATATAGACACGCATCCTCGTGTGTATGTATAGATTGGGCTCGAGTTTCTCTGAGAGGCGACGTACCCCGGCGCACTTCAGCTTACTTTTGACGCCTCCAAGATTCCACGGTTCTCCCACTCATCTCCTCGATCTTCTTTAGTTGTTCCCCCTCACACTATAAATCCTTAACCTGCCGCACACCCTCTTTGATCGTCGCTGTCTTCTCCTGCGCACCAGCTAACCTTTCTCTCTTCTAAATTTTCGCATCCTACACATAAATTAATGGCAGAGCCTCCTAAAATCGATCCGTTCCCAGAGTCTCGCCGGGAATCGGATGCCGGTGCAGCTTTCGTGCTGGAATCTAAAGGTGAATATTCTCCATTTTCTTGTATATACGTATGTATTTATATATACAATATAGATGTATATCACATATATACACACACAGGCGCGGACTAGGTCATGAATACGTTATTCGGGTTGACTTTTTCATCTTTAGAGCGCAAAATTTGGAGACGTAAGGCCTGGTTCATTATTTTTCTCTGAGCTTCTATGAAAAAGTTACTTTAAATTAGACATTTCATTTTTCTTTTCAGGGCTCTTCGGCCATTGAAGAGTTCCAAGAGCCCTCTAAAATCTAAACAGCGATTTTTAGGAGTCTAAAAATTTTGAAGTGCTAGTGATTATGACAGCACAAGTTCTATAGTAGTTAAAAGAAGCCCTCCTCAAAAAATTGTGGAGTGCTTGTTCTTTGACAATGCATGAGTTTAAAAAAAATAGATTAATCAGGTTAACTTTGTATATTTATATTATTTTTTTAATAAATTTGAGTGCAATAATATGTTTTAATCCATATTGCCTCCTTATCCTTAATTAATTGTTTCAGCATGTAGAATGATTAATGATTTTTTTTGCAATTATTTAAATTCGTGGTGTTTGTTTCTGTGAAAAATAGGGGAGTGGTGGCACGCTGGGTTTCATCTGACGACGGCCATAGTCGGGCCAACGATACTTACGCTGCCGTACGCGTTCAGGGGCCTGGGATGGGGGCTAGGATTTATGTGCCTGACAGTGATGGGGGTCGTAACCTTCTACTCTTACTATCTCATGTCCCTCGTTCTCGACCACTGCGAGAAAGATGGCCGCCGTCACATCCGCTTCCGGGAGCTCGCCGCCGACGTGTTAGGCAAGATGTTGAAACTTCTTGCACTTGTGTTGGGAACAGGGGTTGGTTGCGGTTTTAATGGGGGTGGGTGGCCGCGAACGGACATCATAAGAATGGGGTCAGGCTGGAACTGCCCCCTCGGTGTAATTCGTCGTTTAGCGAACTAGTCTGCCGCCATGAGTTCCTCTGGCCGTAGTCGTCGGTCAAATCATGTGCCCGTGCCCATTGTTTTCTGCAAACTTAAGGCTTGGCCCTCCACATTTATACCTTCTTTTTTAATTATATTTTTGCTTCGAGCAAAAAGTAAAAAGATTAGGCGCCTTTTGAAATTTATGTTTGGTTAATTGAAAATTTCGGTATCATTTTAAAGCTCAAATTTTAATAAAGTCAGCCTAAACACACACAAGAATCAATTTTTTTTTTCAGTAACAAAAAAATTAATCCGAAAAAATTTACAAATAGTAAACCCACTTTCAAGGAGATGTCTTTTGTCAAACAAGCCCCTGATGTGAATTCCTAATGGGTTACGCTTTATCTCATTACCTGTTAACCCAGAAAAGGAAAAATTGGCCCGCAAAAGAGGTCGGGTCAATTTCGAACTCCCAGGGCCCGTTGAACTAGTAAAGTAGTAGTAACGTCAGCTCATTATTTGTTGCGTTTTCTCTAATGCACTTCCATTCTCTCTATAATCATTTAGACCAGAAAAGCTGCATCGAGACCAACTATGAATTTTGTGGTGCCGCTATGATTATTATTTATTACTATTAGGAGCCCTGTCCAATGAAAATTGCTTCTTTTCTTATCGTTTTTTTTTTTCAATGAAGGGGCTGGGTGGATGTTTTACTTAGTAATTTTCATCCAGACAGCTATCAACACGGGCATTGGCATTGGGGCTATTCTGCTTGCTGGCGAATGTCTCCAGGTACACTTCTTTTTCTCTTTTTTGTTTTTGTTTTTGTTTTTTTTTTGTGAAAGAAGTCTTCAGGTACTATTTTGAGTTGTCTTATAGTTGATGACTTTTTTGGTATATGTGCACCGTTTCTTTTTTTTTTTTCTTTCTTCTTTTTGCTGCATGAAGGCGGTGGTGAGACGTTGATATGTTCTGCGCCTTTTCTTTTACTTAGAAATATGTTAGTGGGCGGTAATGGGTAGTATTTGAAAACACAGATGCCATTGCAGAATCTTTTTGAAGAATAAAATATCCTTTTCTAGATTGCTGCGGAAACCCACTTGATGGTTATGCATATCAAGAGCCCAGACTAAGATATGATTACAATGAAGACATTTTTCCTGCTGTTTTTCCTCGTATCTTTTCTCTTGTACTCGTGGAATCTGCTTTCCCTTAAAAAACTAAACATGGAGAATTGATTCAATAAGCCAAGGATTCCACAACTGAAAGAACAGCTATTCCTTATTAACTATCATGGCAAATTAACTATATCCTTTAATATACTAAACATGGAGAATTGGTTCAAAGAGATAAGGAATCCATAACTAAAAAAAGTATTCCTGATTAACCATCATTATCACAATCCTTTCTCTACATTTGTTTGGTGGGTCAGTCATGGGGAATAAAAGTGGAACTCGAAAGCTAAGTTATTTTAATAAAAAATTAATTAAGTTTGAATTGAACTTGAAGGTTCCCTTAAATATAGATTCTAGAACGTTATGCTGGTAAGGTAGCTAGAATATGAACTACCAGATCTGTACCTTCCTTTTTTGGTATTATTTTCTAGGGTGATCTGACAATTTTTCTTCTTTATGCCGTAAAAGATCATGTACTCCAACCTTTCCCCCAACGGTTCTCTGAAATTGTACGAGTTCATAGCAATGGTGACAGTGGTGATGATAGTTTTATCTCAGATTCCAACCTTCCACTCCCTCCGGCACATGAATCTAGCTTCACTTTTCCTGAGCTTGGGCTACTGTTTGCTCGTGGTTGGTGCTTGTATTCATGCAGGTAAACTTGATCTACTTTTCAATGTAATTTCTCACTGTTACCAGTGCCTTGTCTGTCTGAAGAATATTCATTGTTATGGCTGAATATTCATTTCATGTGAAGACTTAAAAAGAATTGTACAGGATGTGCATTATGGATTGGACCTCGAGTTTCAAAATTCATACTTCTTTTACATTTTGAATTTCAACGCCCATTGTATGATTATGATAATACTGACATCAGTTAAGTACAGGATTTTGCATTGATATGAGGAGAAAAGGACGGAAGATAAACAGAGGAACACAATAAAATTCAAAGTAGGATCTGTAGTTCTATATGATTGCTGTGATTTCAGTGTTAAGAGCGACTATAGGGCTAAAGATGATTCCAATTGAATTTGTTTGAATAATTGCTCGAAAGCTGTTCCTAGAATATAATTGTGCAGGTAAAGGACGAAACAGAGATTTTATGCCTGTTAATAGTGGTGAGAAGAGAAGGTTCTTCCGACCTGTCATATGTGAAGTTGGTGAATTTTGAATTTTTATTTTTGGAGATTTCTCTGCAGATCATAAATGTATCTCTTTATTTTAAGATGTATCATGCTTTAGATGAATCACTACAATGAATAAAGTAGATTTCTGTGGTTCTGTATATTATTTATTGTCGTAGTGTTGAGTACCGATATCAATGTGCACTCCCAAAATATGGCTCACAGGTACCTCAAAAAATCACCCAGAGAGGGACTATTCACTGGAAACCTCACAGTCGTCAAGGGTTTTCAGTGCCTTCACTTCCATCTCCATTATAGCTGCCATTTTTGGAAATGGGATACTACCTGAGATACAGGCAACTCTGGCTCCACCAGCCACTGGGAAGATGCTGAAAGGCCTTTTGTTGTGTTATTCTGTGATTTTAATCACTTTCTACTCTGCTGCGGTGTCTGGCTACTGGGTTTTTGGAAACAAATCCAATTCCAACATTCTCAAGAGCTTAATGCCTGATGAAGGACCCTCTTTAGCTCCAACTTGGGTTCTAGGCCTTGCGGTTGTTTTCATTCTCCTTCAGCTCTTTGCCATTGGGCTGGTAAGCCAAAAACGGTGCTACAGATAAAAAATTCTGTTTGTATTTGCATTTGGTTTCCTGTTTTCTATTCGCTATTTCATCTTGTGTTTTTTGGAAACTCAAAGCACTAAAAATCGTGGAAATAGTTTCTGGATTTTACAAGCAACTTCTTGTCTTCTAAAATTGGGCCTTCTTTCTGCAAATTTTCCACAAAAATATTTGAAACAACCTGCCAAAGTGGTTTTCTCTTTCAAAAAACAGAAAGCTATGTTGAAATACTAATTGAAACAAAGTTAGACTATGAATTATTCTTGAAACTGAAGAAACATTTTCGCAGGTTAAATTCATTAATGTTCTTCAACTGTACAAAACAGGTTTATTCTCAAGTAGCATTTGAGATAATGGAGAAGAAATCGGCTGATATGAAGCAAGGAATGTTCTCCAAGAGGAACTTGGTCCCAAGAATAATTCTCCGCACGCTATATATGATATTCTGCGGATTTTTTGCAGCTATGCTACCTTTCTTCGGAGACATCAATGGGGTAGTAGGAGCTATTGGCTTTATTCCCCTAGATTTCATTCTTCCTATGCTTCTCTACAACATGACCTATAAGCCCCCAAAATCGTCCATCACCTACTGGATAAACGTCTCTATAATGGTTGCCTTCACTGGCGCAGGAATCATGGGCTCCTTCTCTTCTATCAGGAAGTTAGTGCTTGATGCTAACCAGTTCAAGCTCTTTAGCAGTAATGTGGTTGACTGATTTCCCCAATATGCATTTTGGTAATCTCATAGTGTTTGGTAACTAAGCTTTTGGGCCAGTGGTCGGTTTTTAAGCCAAAGAATTCCAAATTAAAGAAGAAGAAGAAGGAGGAGGAGGAGGAGGAGGACTCTGTAGCTTTAATTTTAGGCTTAAGATAAAAAGTTGTAAAATTGCTTCTGACTCTTCGTAAACATGGGAATGAGAAGTGAGACTACTTCAGTTTGTGTATGTTGAGAAATGTGCAAATTAGGGTAGGTTTGCAACGTACTGCTGGCTCTTGTTTTCATCAAAGAGAGTGAACAAGTCAAACAGAAAGGAACACATTCTCAAGAGATGTATGAGATGGAAGTTTGCGAAGTTTTTCATAAATGGCAATCACTGAGTGCTTGGCTGTTAAGCTTTTTGTTTCTTATTTTTGTTTTTATTTTTCATAAATTTTAAAAACAATGATAACAATTTCAAAGTTTTCAAAAATAGTGAAAATAGAATTTTTAAGCTTGTTTGATTGGACATGAAAATAGAAAACAGTCTTAAAAATGTATCTGTAACCTATTTAAGTGAAAATGCTTGTGTCTTCTTTGCTTTTGTCTTCTTTTCTCTTCTCGACGACCACAAATCTCTTCATTGATCCCAATCCTTGCCACCAATCATGTTTGCTCTTACCTTCTTCTTCCTCTCCGACAATTGCAAACCTTGCCATCGATCCGAGTACTTGTTGCCAATTGTGTCTGCTTTTGCCTTATTCTCCCTTCCCAACAACCATAAATCTTGCTGTCAATCCTAGTCCTTGCCAGCAATTTACCCGAAGATCATGTATGTAGAAACCAAGCAAACAAAGGAAGGACTAGATTGACCCAATTGCCAAGCCCTGCCCAATATTATCAATCCTCCACAAATCCCCATCTTATGCCAAGCCCTGACCCATAACTTGAGCCTCTCCAAGTCAAAGATCCTTCACAAGGAGCCATTTTTGTCGAGATCAAACAGATTGAATGGATGGGAGGAGTAGATAAATGGTGCAAGATATTTTGCATTTTGGTCCCTCATTTTTTCTTCACTATTCAATCTTAAACTTCAACTCTTTAATCGTTCATTTAATTTTTAGAAGTCCTAATTTCTTAGCTTAGACCCCTACTAAAAATCTTAATATTCTAGTTTCATTCAATCAAATTCTTATTTTTAATTGACTGAAAATAGGTAAATCAAATATATTTTCTTTATTTTCATTTTTTGAAAACAAGAAATAGTAAAACAAATCAAACACATTTCCTAAATTTTAAAAATCTAAAAATGAAAATCATATTCAGAAAATAAAAATAAAAATGAAAATAGAAAACATTTTTACAAACCAAACATATATTTTCATAAAAAAATGGTAATGCACATGTGAAAGAATGTTGATTTCAATTATAAAAATTTCACATCAACCAAGAGATAGGAAGACTGAAAGATAGAAAGATAAAATTCCAACTAAAAACAGGGAAAAAAAAATTGGGTAGAAGAGAGAATTTTAAAAAATATATTTAAGAATAATTAATTTTACAAGGATATAACATAAACTAAGAGATTGAAGTGATAGAAAGGAATTCCAGATTGAGAGGTAAAATGCATTTAAGAGGGAAAGTTTGAGTGAAGAAAATAGATGTCAATAGAGAGTTTTATAATATTATAATCAAAATATATGAAGTGCAAGAAAAAATTCAGAGAGATGACAACAAATAGATCGTAGAAAGAGAAAAATTGAATAATAAAATGAAGTATTAAGCAATAATTTTTTTTTCATATACTGTTCTAAAATCGAAATTATCAAATATTTTTCTATTTTTATTTTCACAAAGTAAAAATTATGTTTTCTTGTAAAAATAAAAATAGAAAACAGGCATTGTAACCACAAGCCATGAATGTTTGCTTTCGTTGCTGATTTTGTTTTGTTTTCACTTTGTTGCCGTCGAGGCATTCAATTGGAGGTGGATTTGCAAATTAATTCATTGAACCAATAGATGCAAGGTATTACTATGTTTAGCAGGGATAGAAAGAATAAAGTTATTGATTTTTTTTTTTATTTTAACGCACGTAATTAATTAGATATAGTTTATATTATTTTATGAATCTCATCCCTTCATATTCAATAATAATAAAATTGGAAATTGATTTATTACCATGGCGTAAGGAGTTAGAAAAAAAACCATAAAAATATCAAAAGATAAATAAATAATTGATCAAGCAATACCCTTAAATTCTAAGTAAAGATGCTGAAAAATATTAAATAAGTTCTTAATACTTATATTAGAAATTTTTTAACACTTATTTACAACATTAACAACTGATTAGTGTAGTTAATGAATAGAATTTTAATTCAAATTCAATCTAAATTTAATCTGAATTTTATAATTTAAATCTAATTAAAAAATTTGATGGGTCAAATCCGATTATAAATATTTGTCATTTAAAATAAGTATATCACTTATTTACAACATTAACAACTGATTAGTGTAGTTAATGAATAGAATTTTAATTCAAATTCAATCTAAATTTAATCTGAATTTTATAATTTAAATCTAATTAAAAAATTTGATGGGTCAAATCCGATTATAAATATTTTTCATTTAAAATAAGTAGATCGGATATAAAATTAAGCAACTCGATATTTTAAATATTCGAATATGAATTTTAATAATATTTTTAAATTAAATTAATAATTTAATAATAAATTCAAACTTATACAAATTAAATTGAAAAAATTAGAAAATTTAGTAACTAATATATGCAATAAAGTTAGGAGACTTGAATATAAAAGTGTATCATTTTTTTATCGGATCAGATTTTCTTATCGAATTTTGGATTATTTATCAGATTTGGATATATTTTAATAAACACAAATTTTATAAGATCTCAAATCAAATTTGGATATGAAAATAAATAATTGGATTTGGATTCTAATTTAACTCATTTGATCTAAATCTAATTTGTTTGGCCCTCCAACTAATAAAAGTAATTTTTATTGTCAATTATCTTTTTATCAATTAAGACTTACCTTCAAAATTAGTTTGAAATATCTAATACCTATATTTATCCATAACACAAGGGCATGGGTTAAAGGAAAATAAAAATTTTTTTTAAAAAAAAAAAAAAAAACAGATAGAGAATCTTGTGGTCGATCCAGGAATGGTCACAGTTGATAAATAATATTCATAGTGCGTCGTGGCCCTCATATCGTTGCAGATGGGCGCACTCAAGACTACAGTTGCCGGCTCTCTAAATCCCATGTATTTTCCAATTAATAGTTTTGTTTTCGTTTTCAATTTATTCGAAAATATCATGCCTAAGTGACATATTTGCTTTGGAGAACTGCCAAATAATATTTTAATAAATTAAGTTGTTTTGTTTGGTCGTCAGCATTATCAAAATTGAGCTTATTAAATTGTATTTATTTTCAAGCTCATTCTTATCTACTTTGTAATGATTCGAGAACTATTAAATCTACTAACTTATTGATTCTAAATTACAATACTAAAATACTTAATATCAAATTATTCTGTAATAATCTCTAATATCTCATATACTATATCATATTATTTTCAGAAATAAGTGAGATGGAATATTCTAATTTCTTCTATTCTGTTTAGATATAAATATAGATTTGTGATTTGATGAAAATATCAAGTATTTAAATAGAATACTTTGTTGACTCTGAATTTAATAATTTGTTGACTCTGAATCACGAGTTAAAATGTTTAAACATAAATTGTTTAGTAAGACTCTCTAATCTCTTATATATTATATCATAATATTTTCAAAAATTCACGTGAAATAAGATATCACGATCTCCCCAATTTAAAGACTTGATATTCTTGTCAAGTCACAATCCTATTCATATTCAAATAGAACATGTTCGAAAATTGTTTTATTCTGATATTATCTGTAATGATCTGAGAGCTACTAAACCTAATAACTTGTTGAGTTTGAACTATTGGTCCAAAATACTTAAACTCAAATTATTCAGTAGTAATTTCTAATATTTTATATACTATATCATATTATTATCGAAAATTGATATAAGATGGGATATCACAATTTTCTCCCTTTAAACATTTGACGTTTTCATAAAGTCACAAATACATATTTCTATCCAATCAGAATAGGTACGAAAATTGTTTTTACTCTTGTACTATTTATAACGATCCAAGAGTCACTAAACCTAACAATTTGTTGAGTCTGAATTACTAGTTCAAAATATTTAATTTCGAGTTGTTCAATAATACTCTCTAATATCTTAGATACTATATTATATTATTTTTAAAAATTAATGTAAAACATGATATCGCATACTTTTACAAATTAATCTTATAAATAAATAAATTTATATAACCATGTAGGAATATAATTAAGAATAGTATTCAATTGAATAATAGCACTACATATCTCATCTAAATTTAAAATTAAATATTTGATGGAAAAATTTATCTGTATAATTTAATTTCAGTTTGAACTTGGGTTAAGTCGTAATTAAACGATTAAGATTTAACTTTATAGTGCTTTACACCCAGCTCATTTCAGTCCTTGGCCATACAAACAAATCACGTATTAGTGCTTTTTTATTAGCTAGCCCGAGCTTCCTGGGCTTTGCACCATGACTGGTAACAAAATTACAGTTTATGTTGACGAAGTGCCTTTGCATACGGACATTATAACCCACTTTAAAAACCATTTAAATCATTTTCTCTGGTAAAGTACTACAGAAGTTCTTTACCAAAACAAAATTTTGTAAATTATTAATTATGACTTGGCCACTTCTACGTCATTGTTTATTACAAAGAGATTAATGATTGAGTCATCCCCCTATTATTTATATTCATAAATATATTAAGAAATATTCCTCCATCTATATCTTCATGCTTAATGAAGCCCATCCATCGTGTTTAATGTGACAGCTCTCGTCATATTATTTATCAACTTAACCTTCTCCAATGATCTTCTCTTATCTTTGTTGGACTTTCAAA